AGAAGACTGGGTGTGGTGGTGTACACCTCTAATCCCAGCACTTGGGAGGCTGAAAATGAGGATCACTGCAAGTCCGATCCGTGTAGTGAGACTCTGTAGATCCTGTACTAAATATAGTATAAAAAAAGAAAAAAATTCCGATTTCCTCCTGAAATTCTGCAGTTGATTCTTATTTTCCACTTTGACAAAGTCACAACTTTTTTCATGGACTTCCTATGCAGACTTTTCCAGTGTCTGGAGAAAGACTGAATGCGCAGTAGACACTGTGAAGCAACAGGAAAGCAGAGAGCCTTCCTGCGGCTTCCCAGTATTACAGTCTCTGATCATTCTAGAATCCTGATTTGGGGCAAAATTTTCAAATGATATACACATTTGGGACACCCGTGAGCTATAGCTTGCCAGTTTGTAACTGCTCTATACTTAGGTGTAATTTATTCCTTTGCTGAAAATATTCTTGTCCTCACTGAGCAGGGAAGTTGGCTCAAATTCTTTGTTCCGTTTGATCAGCTTTTCCCTTGCCCAAGTCCTAGGGTGATGGGAGCTGAGAACCTCACTGTGGGTCCTGTGAGCACAGCTACTGTTTAGTTTTTATTTTTTAAAGAACACAAGTAGTAGTAAGAAAAAAGCATTAAAAAGATACAAAATTTCACTAAACAAGGTAATAGGAATTCAACAGTGGTTGTTGTATTGAATGATGGTAGCTCCAAATTAGTTGTTTACGTTACTAGATATAAGCATGAAAAATTGGCTTTCAAAAAAATCAAAACAACAAAAACTTTTAAGAAATTAAAAAGAAGTAAAAAATTAAAAGAAGAAAGTTTTAAGCATTAACTACTCCTTTCAAAACACCAGCAGAGATCATTAGTATAATTATCCAAATTATTCTGTGTATATACATAAATATATCTCTTTTGAACTCTTTCCAGGCATTGGGGATTAACTCAAATAATATTGGTTTACTCTTTTCAATACACTGTTAGTTCTACATGTTTATTTTCTTTAACCAGTGCAGAAAACAAGGCCCTGAGAAATTAAGGCCTTATCTAACATCATGGCTAATGAAGGTAGAAAACATCTCCATATCTTAGATTTCTGTCTTATCTCAAAGACCAAAGTATTAAAATATGTGATCTTTATTGAACTGCTACTTCTTTTTCTTTTGATCATTTTTATTTTTCTCATAAAAACTAAGATCTCCTTGGTGGCAATACTTTTATACTCACTGTTATGTTCTCAGGGCCTGAGATCTCTCAAAATAAACACAAGCTTTCTTGTCCCTTCCATCTACTAGTTTACCCCATCGTTAGTTACCAGCATGCTCTGCTCCCTACTCTGATCTGGTTGACTTGAGGACTCAGTCAGTGGGTACCATTGTTTGAGATCCACAAGGGAAGCAGACAGTAATCACATGCTTTAGGTACAGCACAACGAGCTGCTTAAACTCTCTGGCTTGGGATCCAGATGGACTGAGTTGGGCTGTTACCTCTGTCCTTTCCCAACTCTTCAATTGGGCTAAAGTACGTTATCTGGCCCTCAGTTCCCGCATCTGTAGAGACAGCTCAATAACCCACTGGCTTGTCCAATACTATGTGAGTTCATACACACAAAATTCTTAGAATCGATATAATCAGCAAGTATTAGTGAGTCGGTTAAATTTACGTATCCACTTGGGCAGACCATGGTGTCCTCTTGCTTGGTCAACACCAACCTGGATTTGGATGTTAAAGATGTATTTTGATGGGATTTGAATTCAAGTCAGTAGAGCAGACTCTGAGTAAAACACACCATCGTACATAAACTGATAGGCATTATCCAACAAAAGACTGAGTTTCCTCAAAAAGCTAAAAATTCTCTTCAAGATAATGAGATGAACTCTTAGCCCAGGCTCCAGTCTACTGAGATGCTCTACAAATTTTAGATTTGACTGCACTCATAATTGCATAAGACAATTCATTCATTCATTCATTCATTCTCTCTCTCTGTCTACACACTCACACACAGAAGTACACACACATCACGTGCATACCATGACTCCACTATCAGTGTACTGGTTGTTCCTAACATTGCAAATGACTAAAATTACTCCTTTCTGTCCAAACAATACAAAAGGTTAACGAGAACTGTTCTTTGCCTGCTTGCTTCAAACTAGGCACAGTAGATTTAATAATTTCCTCATTTTACCCAACAGATAGACAGCCGGGCTAGGACAACAAGGGTATTATATCAATTTTTCAAGTTTCTCTACTACTAAATCTAATAAGGATTTTTTTTCTTTGAAGTTGGAAATTTGAAGCACCATCCCACATGCTCCCCCAAAAGCTCCAAGGAATTTGAGGAGGTTATTTTTTAAAATTTGTGGTCAATGTATGCTGATGGTTTCTGTTAAATTTCCACTTGAATTATAACTCCTTGCTCAAGCCCTAAGTAATCACAGTGCAGATTATTTACTGAGTGAGGGAGGCTTTCTTCTTCTACCACCTGAGCAGTCATATCATCCCTAAATAAAAACTCATTTCCCCCAAACGCTCTTATTCTCATCAGCAGCCACCGCTGAGAGAGAGAGCTGATTCTGCCTTTTGAGAGCTTATTCCTTAGTCTATCTCTTCCCCAAGCACATGCAGTCTCACCTTTTTTTTCTTTCTTCTTTCTTCTACTTGTTACTGGTCCTCAGGATCAGAGCTAAGCCCAAGCATCAGGTACATATGTCAGTAAAGAAAATAAATCAGTGGCTGCTTCCGACCTTCTTCTTGCCTCCTCGGCAGGAACAGATCTCCACACCCGAGATTCTGGATCTTCTTAACAGAATCTTCATGCCCTACAACAGCATGAGAAGGGCCCGTCAGGAGTGGAACGTTGCACAGCTGCCTGGAGCTATGAGCGCAGGATGTCTAAACCCATCCATAAAGCAAACTGTGTTCCATTGAGCTGGTTCACATGCAGAAGTCCTTTAGGCTAGTGGCTGAAGGCATGAACTTCAGATTCAAACTATGCATTTTTGGAAGGTTAGCCCTGCTCTTTGCTATGTATAGTCCTTGCTAAGCGACTCAACCTGTCCCTGTCCTCTTCTCATAGAAGTAGCTTGTAAAACTGTGAGCTTAACACTTGGTAAGAATAGCTTGGTATCAGCAGTTATTCCTGGGATCTGTCACAGGGCCTTGGACCTTTGGACGTTTTAGAAATCAACCCCTCTGTCTTATTGATAGGGGAAAGACATGATTTATGTGAGAGGCCATAGTAGACTTTCCTACTTCATATGCCAGACCACTGCCAGCTTGTCTAGAATCTGACTTGATGGATTATGTAAGAGAAGCTAGTGTTTGTAAGATGTTTTTCATCTTGAGATAGCAGACTTGTGCAGAGTGATTGTAGCCCCTCTGCACTGGGGCTAAAGACAGAAAACTAGACAGGATTAGGATTCAAGAGATGAGTAGGGAGCACCTTGGAGCAAACAGCATGCACCTGAGCCTCAAAAACACCATGTGGGCAATGAAGTAATCAACCGCACACATACCTGGAATGTAAAAAACAAAAACACAGGGCTCTGTGGACCACAGAATTCGTCCTTTCAACTCCTCCCCACATGCAGGCTGATAAGAACAGGTCTAACACAGACTAAAGAGGCCTTGCACACAAATCTATCCATCGAGCTTAAAACTCATATCTCTCAACACTCATTATAATTCTGAAAGGCTGGGCGCATCACGGCAGCGGCAAAGTTATGCGATTTTCATGGCACTGGTCTCGTCCTACACCCTCTGCAGAGCTTCTCTATCGGGGAATAAATGAAATGGGATCGGAGTCTCTTCATCCTCACCCACGGGTCTCTATCCAGGAAGTCGCAGGCCGAGAGCCACGTGTTCGCGCGGGCGCAACATTGTTCTGCCGAGGTTGCTCACAGCCTTTCCGCGACGGACAGCACGTGATAATTTTAACGTCACTTGTTCCAAATCAAGCGTCTTCGGGCAACTAGCTCCTGTCATCCCCTTCTTCCAGCTCACCCAATCAATCCTTGTGCAGACCAGACGTTACCTGGACCAGATTTCTGGAACAGGCAGGAGGAGTGAGGGTCGCAGAGCTTCGCCATTCCTCTGCTCCTCCCTGCGGTCACATGACTGTTGCACCTTTGTGGCAGTTCTTCTGGCATATATGGGTATCTCCTATTTTTCTTTTCGTGTTTATTTCTTCCAAATTCATTCTGTTTTCTTAGTGAAACCGTGGAGGTTTCTCCTCCAACCGCTCCTACCACACACACACACACACACACACACACACACAAACTGTCGGGAAAACGTTTTAATTATTCCCAACCACAACAGCGCATCGGAAGGACTGCAAGGAAGAAAGCCTTAGGGACCACGGAAGGCAGCCGGACGCTCCCTGAGCTAGAGGAGACCGCCCGTACCTCAGCGCAGGGCACCGCTGTTCTGATACCCTCACCTCTGCTCAGTAACACTGGGTGTGCAAATCGATGAAACACCAGGGAAACTGTGTGTGTGCTTGTGTGCGTGTGCGTGCGTGTGTGTGTGTGTGTGTGTTAGGGTCAAGGGATAGACAGATGAACAGAGACACACACAGTGATAGAGTCAGAGAGAGAGAGAGAGAGAGAGAGAGAGAGAGAGAGAGAGAGAGAGAGAGAGATCACAAGGGACCCTGAAGGGACGCGGCTCAGAGAGAGGACAGAGAGCAACTGAATTGAACACAGGGGACAGACGGAATGTGCTTAGGGGACGGAAGGAAGGCAGAGCTCAGGAGAACTGTTTTTCTGGTAATGTACTGAAAAAGTTGAAGTGCAGCTCCCGCGGGCGGCTCAGTTGTGCATTTCAGGCGTATTTACACCGACCAGGGCATTCCGGGCAAACCGTGAATGAACGGGCGCCACCCGGGCTGGGTCGCCGGGACTGAGCCGAGCCGCGCTCGGCCTCCTCGGGCGCCGCCAGGGGGCGCGCGCGCGCAGGGGCGGAGCCGCTTTAAATCTCGGCGCCCGCGGACCTTGCTTCAGTCCGCAGCCCGCCGGCAGCCGCTGCTTTTCGCGTCCGAGTGCGGCGCCACCCCCTGAACTATCTGGACTCCGACCAGACCCACAGACCCCTGCGGCTTCCACAAGCGGGAGTCATCGCAGCCGCCTGCCCCGCACGGCCGCCACCCCGGAGCCCGGCTGTCCGTGCACCTGCCAGCCCCGCGCACCTGCGAGTCCCGCGCACCTGCGTCCCAGCGAGCGCCCGCGACCATGGCCAACGCCGGGCTGCAGCTGCTCGGCTTCATCCTGGGCACCATCGGCTGTATCGGCTCCATTGTCACCACTGCGCTGCCCCAGTGGAAGATGTACACCTACGCCGGCGACAACATCGTGACCGCCCAGTCCATCTACGAGGGGCTATGGATGTCCTGCGTGTCGCAGAGCACGGGACAGATCCAGTGCAAAGTCTTCGACTCTCTGCTGAATCTGAACAGTGAGTGCACCCCACCCCTCGCCGCCGGCCGGACATCCCGGACAAGGTCGCGCCCCGCTCTCCCCTGGTGACCTGATTATGTGTGTTCAGGTGATCCAGTCTCCTGGTCACCTGCTCTGTGGAGAGGGAGAGAAGAACACCCTGTCTCAGGCCGAAGGAGACCGGGCCTAAGCCCTAGAGCTGCCTTTAACACCCTGAGTGACCCCTTTCTGGCCTGTGTGGTTTCCTGTCAAACTTCTAAGACAGTGGGTTGAGATTAGAAGCTTGAAGGCCACACTCAAACATGAACTCTAAGTAGTGTCTTCTGGACTTTCTAAGACGCTGTGTGATTTCAGGGTTGGTGGAGCTGGAAGAAGACGTTGGTGTACCTTGATAGACAACTCAAGGACATCAAGGAAGTATACATTTATAAGTGAAATCCTTCCCCTGACTTTTCGAAGTAAAAGTCACATTCCTTCTCAGTTACATCCCATCTCGATTTCTCTGTCTGACATGTGAGGTCGAATCCTTTGTGTCAGTTGATTTTCTAAGATGCAGTAAGTGCCAGGAACATCCTTGTGAGACTTAAGAATCCTTTTGAGGTTCAGCCCAAAGTTTCTCTCTGAGCTGGGGATCTTCAGAAGAGAGAGATTGTTTGCTAGTGCTTTAGCCCGGACAACTCTCTGCTAAGTGGGAAAGCATGAGAAGCCAGAAGGCTCTGAGTGAAAGAGTTCAGGCAAAGGAAGGAGGTGGTGAAGGACTAGAGAGGAGGTTCTTCCCATTATCTGCCCTTCCACAGAGGCGTTTCAGCATGCTGGATGTTTGCTTCTCTTTTTTTCCACTTGGAAAGAATGATGTAGAAAGAAATATTTCAAAGGATGCTACTGAGAGGGATGATAGGATGACTTCTCAGTGGATTGTCAGGAAACCCTTAATTCTCTGCTTGGGTGCTGTCCCTTGGTGGCTGCATTATCTTCATAGAGCAGTAAGAACAGCCACTGTATGCCATGTGTCTGTTGCACCCTTTCACTGGCAGGAAGGAAAGCCTTCTTAGTTTTTACTTAGATAAACAAGATGGGTCACGACTCCCCACAGTGTGCCGAGAGTGGGCAGGGTTGGCACTGTTTAGCCTCTGGCTTTGTCCATCTCCTAGTGAGGAACAACTTTTAATTGAGCATGCTGAAAGCCATGGAGTTTGGAGGAATCAAAGCTCTTGCAGTTTGGTGTGACAACGTAGCCAATGTGCCTGGTGACTTTATGTGTGTAGTTTCAACTTTGCAAAGTTACCCTTTCAGAAGCCTTTGATATCAAAATTAACCTGTACATTTAGTAATGGTGAGTGTTCAGTCAATATTCCTGGGGCATATATATATACTTCTAAAATGAATCATCAGGAAGGAAGCATGGAATAGATGAATGGAGAGAGAAATACGTACACAGAAACAGTGCTGGACATTTGTGGCACTGCTTCCTGGATATGGCAGATGGAGAAAGCACTAAGGTGCAATTCAGAGAGCTCTTCTGGTCAATTCTGTTCTTCCAGTCAAAGTAATTTATTTTCAACATTGATATATTGCTTTCTTTGAAACTTTCTCAAGTGACTAGATGCAGTGTAATCAATTCATATAGGTCTATATTTAAGCATTTTATTTGAATTTATCCTTCATTAATATGGTTATTCAAATTTTTTAAAAATATAGTAGAAGTCACAATTACTCTGTGGTTTGAGACACACTTATGCCAGAGCCTTTTCCTTGCTTAATTTTTAAATTCACTGAGAACAGTTTCTGTTTTCTGCTTTGGTTGAAGCCATGGTTTGTCCAAGTGGGGCCATGACCTTTCTCCCAGAATCAAGTCACAGGAGCTGGGGAGATGGCTCAGTAGGATAAGCGCTTTCCTGACAAGCTCAAGGGCCTGAGTTCAATCCCTGTTTCTGGGAAAAAAAAAAAAAAAAAAGCCAACCATAATCAAGTCACAGAAGTGGGAGTCCTGGCTCTGGGGCTCCCTCCGCCCTGGACTGTGAGTCACTAGATGCCATCAGATGCAGTGCAGAGAGTCCTCTCTGTTTCCTCACCTGGGCAGTAGTGCTCTCACCACCCACCTGATGAGGAGCCCAGGGGTGCGGCTCATGGCTGGCCTTGTGTACTTCTACAGACCTAGAGATGAAAGGAGTTTTCTGTGCGTACAGAAGCAGTGTGTCTCGTAAAAGTTTCTGAAATGCTTTTAGATCTGAACATTTCGCTGAAGTTTCTGGATATTGTACCTCACTGTCTTACCAGCTTACTGTCTTAACAATGAATGAAGGAATTTATCAAGGTTTAAACCCAGGACACATTAAAATCTCTTATTTCCTTCCCTTACCTCATGTCAGGTGTAATAAAATCACAAGACCTTCACAAAAATATGAGAAAGAATAGTGTATACTGTGTATGGAATACATGCATATAATAAATATGATAGATGAGATACAGCATGGCTTATTTTAGGTAGTTTTTGCCAAACAGTTTATGAAAATACAGCTGAGAAATTTCCTGGAGAAATGAAGTTTGCATTGTGTAACTGGGTTTACAAGGGCTGAGGCAATTCCCATCCCAGCCCATTCCACAGGAGGCTTGTTGACACAAATACTTCTCACAGCTGAAAACTGGACTATTCTGATGTCCCTGCTCAAAGGAGAGTATCATGATCAATTTCAGTAGCTCTTTTTTGGTTCATCCATGCATTTTAACCAAATTCTCCAGCTTTGGGGAAGCCAGTTCTGTTTCATGTGTTTAGTTAATTGCTTCTTTTTGCTTGACTTTAATAGCTAGAGCTGTCCAAAGATTGGGCTGTCGTGGTTGACTGCAAGTTGGGAGGTATCCAAGCAGAGATAAGTAAGCATTTTTTCAGAAATGTTGTTGGGAAGATGCAAGCACCAGACAAATGGGAGGTTAGGCTAGACTCTCTTTAAGTGTCATCTCACTCTGAGATTCTGTAATTTGTTTCTCAGCTACTCTAGCCTGTTAAACCTGCTTGGCATGACCCCACATGTGAGTAGGTGTGCTTAATGAGTATTGGTTGTCATGAGGTCTCCCAGTGCTCTCTCCATGATGTCAGGCTCAACCAGAAAAGCAAAATCACCGACTTGGATAGTCCCTGAAGCACAGGCAGAGAGGAAGGCAGCAGGCAGCTGTGCACGTCTCTAAACTGATGGATACCTGTGACAGTGGGGGCTTTCAAGGAGCCATTGGTATTCAGATCTTTCAAGAATTGCTTCTGCCTCTTGGAATGATGAGAGTTGAAATGAAAATCCATGCTTGAGATCAAGCGTTCTAAATCCTTACTCTGAGTGCGCACTAAGGGTCCCTTTGTAGTGTGGTGAGCAGGCCACCTCCCAGGCTCAAGAGGTTTCCCCGTTTTATAAAACAGCAGATTAGGAAGAATACTGAGATGAATCCCAGCCTCACTGATCTCTTCCACATCCATGAACCCAGCCCTTTGCGCCTTCCTAGCTGATTTCCAAGGTCTCTTCCACTAGCAGCGTTCTTTGGTACTAACTTCAGTACCAAACAGGGCAAAGCAAGTGGTTTATCTAGAGGCTCCTTGTTCGGAGTGATGAGTAAATGCCAGGAGGTGATACAGAGGCATAAACTAAATCATGAGACAAGTCAGAAGAAAAAAAAAATCAGCGACCTTCTCAGGACATTCTGAGAGGTGCTAAGACCTTGCGCCCACTGAGCTTGTTCAGTCATTGTCCGTGCTTGTGGTCTGAGGTCACACCCGGTGGCCACCAGCTCCTGTACTAATAAAATGGAAACGTTAGCAGAGAGGATTCTTGTGGACTATGGAATGCCAGTAAAAGTAAAAAAAACCTCATAAGTGACAATTCCGTAGGAGCATCGTTCTATGATGCCGTGTGATGAGCTCACTTATTACAAAGCAGAAAAGAATAATTTTTGTTCTAGTCACTTAGGAAACAGTGAATTTTTAAAATTTATCTGATACATCTTAGTAACTACTGAAACAAAGAAGGGCTGTGTGAGAATAGAGATGTAATTGAAATCCATGTTGTTTATGGTACACAGTCTCAGGGTAAGAACACAGTAACATGTATCATGGTTAGTAAGTACCGTAAACAATGCCGAGTATTTACAGCAGACGTGCTGCTTGTGGAGCAAGTCTTTAAAGCCTCAGAAAAAAGTCCACATACTTGTCTATGCTTGTCTGTCTACACTTAATGTTGATTAACATAACTGTAGCAGACCAGCTCTGTCCAACTCATTTCTTGTCTTATGAGTAGAAATCTTTGTAAGTATTTTTTTTTTAATTATACTTCCAAGTTGAAAGTGGCGAAGACTCCTTAGGGGGTCTCTAAGCTCAAGATTATCAGTCTGGCTCGGTATAATTAAAAGACTGGCTCCTCTGTTTACTGCTAATTAGTGACAAGAAACAATAGTAGAACATTTTTTGAATGTTTGCTAGCCAGATTGCCTGGAGACCACTCTAATTAGTTATCATAGTGTTACAGAAGTATTGGAAAATTTAAGAAAGGAATATGTTCCCTCCTAGATTCAGTAGAGTCAGACCTTTTCAAAGTTAATAACAGAAAGTTCTATTTTATCTCTGTGGTCCAAAGTGTTATTTTATAGCTTTCAAATATTTCTATTGGTCTCTCTGTTTTACACCTTTTCTTACCACTAGGGAGAGAAAGAAAGTTTATCTTGGGAACTCATTGCATGCATAGATTTAAAATTAAATCACACTGAGCAAAAAATACAGATTATTGTCTTTTCTGCATGGATTTCTAGCTTTTAATGAACTAAAGTCTAGCTGTATTTAGGAAGATATTGGTATCCGCAGCCTCACTAAAAAGGTGTTTTTCACTCATTTGAGAGTTAAGCTAAACTGGAGTATTTTTGCATGTCACTATTACAGTTTTTGAAAGGTAAAGACTTTATTCCACTTTAAATCATTGAGCCTAAGCTGAATAATTAATCCATGTGACTTGGCAGGTGCAGGGCCTTAGTGCTTTGCATGCAGACTTGAATAAATATCTCAGATCATCTAGGAGCTCACAATTACATATTTTTGACTTGTAACGCAGGAAGACTTGCATAAGACCTTAATTTGGAAGAATTCATGCTGCTCCAGTTTAAAATGGTGCAATTTAGATTTGATCTACACACAGATCACTCGTAACCTGTAACACAATAGTTGCTTACTGTGACTCCTGACCTATCATTAGCTGTGCCCAGCTTGCGAGTTTCCACCGAGCTATGCTGCTCAGCCCCCTTGCCATGGGCATGTGTGTTATCTGAACATTTCTCTTGTACATCCTTATGGTTTAGAGTTTATTCTAATGGATGTCTTCTGTAAAATGTGGTGAGATTTTTGCATTTGCTGTCAATCTAATATTGTAAAATATGAAAACATTTCATGAGTTAGTGGTGAAGGGAAAAGACAGCAAAAGATTGCTGAGTGACATATTGAAAACACTCAAGCCCCTTGATCTCTATGGTTCTTGTGATTTTATTTTCTTCATTTTCTCCATTGCTCTTGGTGTATTAGACAACACATTGTCCTATAAATGAAACACAGTAGGGTCATGAGTAAGCACTGTACAGGCTATCCAACTTTTCTTGGAAACTTTGCAAAATAAGTGGTAAAATAGATAAGGCGTATTGAATGAGCTTTTGTCTAAGTGAAAGGGGAAAACTTGACTGATTAAAACTATGACTGCTGGGACTGGAGAGAGAGCTGAGCAAACTGAGCACCTGTTTAGGCAAGTGCAGGGAGCAGGGCTTGATCTCCACCCCCAGGCACACTGAGCCAGCCGCTGAGACTGGGTAGGGTGGTGCACACCTGTAATCCCAGTATTCAGGAGGCTGAAAACAGGAGGATCACTACAAGTCCAAGCTGCTTAGTGAGACCCTGTATGAAATACATAAAACAGCATCAACAACAACTAAAAGAAACTGTGAATATTGGATCACTCTAGGTTGGTGTAGGCAGAGTCTGGAGGATTCATACATGCTTCTGCCTTGCTGGTAGCAGAGGTTTTATGCAAGCCTGCTTCATGAGATTGAAGCCTCTTTGTCCCCTCACGGCTATGGGCTCAGGATCCTCGGGACTGTGGGCTCAGGGTTGTGACCTGCTGCTTTTACACAATGAGAAGATCAGTGTTTATTATAACACTGGTAGGTATAGTATGAGGCCCCATAACTTGAACATGCTGGAAAATTGGAACAAGAACAGAGAAAACAACAAAAGCAAGTAATAAAGGGTTAGAAAGCTAAGTATTTATGATATAGTGAAGTGGAGCTGACCGCAAGAGGTAAGAGGCTATGCCTGCCTGAAAGGCTGCCGTAGCAATATTTTCTAATAGTATGATCTCTATACAGAAGGTAAAGATGCATCACCCCTCCCTTACCATCCTTCAGGGAATTGTTATTACATTTAAAGTAAACTCTAGCTCGACATGGTGGTGCACGCCTATAAGCCCAGCACTCCTGAGGCTGAAGCAGGAAGATTGTGACAAGCTCATGGCTAGCCTGGGTGACATAGTGAGCTGAAGGCCAGCCTGAGAGAGCAAGACCCTGTCTCAATCAATAGAACAAAGCAAAACAAAACTATAGACACCAAAATCCTTACCAAAACATACAAAGTTCTGCACATTTATGTCTCCTGCCTAAAGCTCACTTCAGGTCCCACCCAGTCTCCATTGGGCTGAGCGGCTCTCCCAGTTTCCCTAAGACTGAGAACTTCTGAGGATGCAGGACTTTTATTTTTTAAACAAGAACAGGATTCCATAAACTGGCATGAAGGTCACTCTCCGCCCTGGGTATGGACCAACTTTGTTACTTTCAACACTTACATATTCTGAGTGGAGTCTTAGGATCAAATCTGTCACCTGTTTCATAGATATGAATTTACTTACCATCTAAACCTTGTTTCACTAAGTAATGACTATCTCACCAGACCTGCTAGCACATCAAAGAGAGTTCATGATACTTTCCTCTCAGGGTGCAGTATGGCTTATGACTTTAAGCACAAAATTCAGTAATAATCTCTAAACAGTTTCAGTTCCTAGTAAATCTGTGGTCTATGGAACATGGGTTTTATAATTATCTTCTTAGTTCCAGATTCCACCTTGGAATCTGGAACCTTAAGATGGCATATTTGAATGTGTGCGCATATATGCTCAAATGTTATGAGCAGGTGGACATGCAACTGGAGGCAAAGAAATACAGGATTTTTGTTGTTGTTGTTGTTTGTTTAAAGAATAGGGCTTGAGCTCAGGATGTTTTCATGGAGCTACACCCTCACCCCTCTACTTATTTTTGAGTTTGAGGTAGAATCTTGTTAAATTTCCAAGTTGCCCAGGCTGGGCTCAGTGTGCGGTTCATCTGCCTCGACCCCCTAGAGTACTGGAATTGCAGGCATGTGCCACTACATCTAGCTTGCTTTATTTATTTTTAATTTTTATTTTTTGTATTTAGGGCAGGATCTACAAGGTCTACAGGGTCTCACTATACATATCAGACTCATAGTGATTCTCCTGTTTTCAGCTTCCCAAGTGCTGGGATTATAGGCATGCGCCACCACGCCCAGTCTCAGTCACCTTCTCAGTATGCCCCAGGGGCCGGCCAGCATGGCAGGCTAGGGATCGAACCTCCAACCCCTGCCTCTGCCTAAGCAGGTGCTTTAATCTGCTGAGCTATCTGGCCAACCCTAGCTTGCTTTATTTTTTAATGAAATCAAATAAAAATTTATTCTGGCTTTTAAAAATATTAGCCATATATTGATATCTCTTAGAAAGAGATTACTGTGATTTTTATAATAAGTTTTTAAACATAAAAAAATCAACAAATTAAAATGTAATGATAGGGCTTGGGATATACCTCAGTGATACAAGTGCCTGCCTGGAGATATATCAACATTCATATTTTATACATCCCAAAGAACATGATCCCAAAGAACACAGGGTGGCTGACCAAAGATTTCCCAGTTCATCACAATGTGAGTCGTATACATGTGTGCAAAGATTCTTGTCATATATTAATTCTAGCCATGAGATGATAATCTTCAATGGGGAAAAAAATAAATGTGTAGTTTAAATAAAATCTCAAAGCCAGTATAGTTCAAGCCCACTATTTTCCAGGCTGGCACTTGCCGACTGTTAACCTTGCATTCTGTAAGATATTGGTATAATCTCAGTTTGTTCATAATTTAGTTCACCAAAGACAATTACAGAAAATGAGAAAATGAGCAATATCCTGAGAAACACTAGATTGAATTAGTTTGTCTGCTATATGCACCATGACCTTTTAATTTTAAAAACTGGAGATATTTTGAATATGAACATACTACTCTCTTCCAAGGTAGCTTTTCAAAATTGTTTTAAGAGTTACTTCCATATTGTCTCTATTTCTTCAATAATCAGAGGTACAAATAGGACTTATTCAGGGAGGAACATCTTTGAAATTTCCTTTCTATTCCATAGTCACGTGCTCTCCTGAAGTGTAATGGTCATGCTGTAAATCTAGTGGCTAATTCTTAACTCTCATTGTAAGCTCTTTTATGTACAAATAGTGAACATCACAATAGTACAGATGCTTGCTATTTCAAACCAACATATTCTAATAATATGGGCTAAATAAGAAAGACTTAGACTAACCCTATCTGATTAGATCATTGCTTATCTTCTAGTTAATTAAGAATTTAATTCTTAAAGGAAAGTGTAAGGCGCTGGAGGGCATTTTGTCCACCATCTGTGCTGGGTGCTGGCTCTTCTGCAGATAACTCTGTGATACCTGCTAGCAGAAAGGGCAGGAGAACTGAAGCCTACAGACTCCTAATTTAGTTTCCCTCCTACATATCATGTTGAACTTTCCTTGATCTTCTCCACGTTTGTCTTGCTGCTCCACACGTGATTTTCACCTTACATAAAATATATCTTTCCAGGCACTTTACAAGCGACCCGGGCCTTGATGGTGATCGGCATCCTCCTGGGACTGATTGCCATCTTCGTGTCCACCCTGGGGATGAAGTGTATGAAATGCCTGGAAGACGATGAGGCACAGAAGATGCGGATGGCTGTCATTGGGGGTGTGATATTTCTCATTGCAGGTAAGAGAGCTTGGTTCCCCACCCATCTGCGTTGACTGTCTCTCACGCAGTTTGCAGTCCAGCTTTCAGTTTCCTCAGGTTATGTTGGATTTATCATGCTTGAAATTATTTGAGCCCCTTTGTCATCTGCATTCATAGACTCTGTGGTCATGTGACTGTCATGGTCTCAATTGGGGCCAGATGAAAACGTGATATTTGTGTATGTGTGTCAGCAATGTTGTTTGTTAGAGCCGGTCTTCCCAGGTGAAGGGAGAAGTTTGCTATGTAGCCAACTCCCTGGAACAAGCTTGTATAATTCAAAAAAATGTCAATGGTGCCTCCATAGGTATTATGTGAGACAATGAGAAGTGGTGAGAAAAATACATGGATAATATGTGATCATCCAGAATGAGAACACTGGAGGAGGCCTGATTATTTTAGAAAAATGAGGGGAGCAGTCCAGATGGGTAGACTGAATTATATAATAAATAGGGTGTTCCCATAGACTGAAGAGTAGAAAAACCAGGTAGAGTAGAGGGATGTTGACATGCTAGGAAATTCAATTAGATGAGTTAGGAAAGGAAACAGTTCAGAAACATCTTAGAACAAAATGCTGATAAAATGAAACTATAATTTCCACAGAAAATAAATACCTATTCAATGCTTTATTCCATCACTGACAAATTCATTGTCTTTGATGTCATCAGGAAAATGAAAGTTAGAAGATGGAAAATACCACTTCAAAGCTTTATAATAAGGCTTATATTAAATATAACAGATAATATATTATAAATATAATATATATACACACTGATGACATTTATTGTAAACGTAGACAGTTGTGGACATTTATTGTGAGTGTAGAGATCTATCTTTATAGGTGCATAGTACATAGATGTAACAATAGTCTGCTATATATACTGTATATAATTACATGTAGTAATCTATTATTTTTAAAACAACAGTATATAAATCTACTACAGTGAGAATAGAACTGGACTTTCATTTTTATTGTTCCTGTTGATTGAAGACCTGCAGGGGATTTTGCTCCACCTTAATACATGGATTTAATGCATGCAAGGAATGTGTCCAGGACTTGGTTAACGATGTGGATGGACCAATCGGTTGTCCATGTTTTGTGATGAAAACCATCTCCTATCTGGAAAGCACGAATGATGTATTATTCCAACCATGTAGCCTTCCATCAAAGCCAGTGAACAACTGGTGGCGTAGCGCCCTCACTATGCCACCTCCTGTGAGGTGCCCGCCCGGGGGTCGTGCTGCTCCTATGCAGTCTCAGGGACTCTGCAGAGTGCAGACTGCAGGGTCACGAGTTTGTGCATAGCCCATATGGGCAGTGAAACACACACACACACACACACACACACACACACAGAGTCAGACAAAATGAGATTGCTTTCTGTCAAGTATTGGAAGCAGTTAGATTAGGCCACTTTTTTACAGGGGAATATGATAAGTATAAAATTAAAATGACCAATATCGGTTAATTCTTAACATTACATGAAAAAATGTAGTTTCTTTTAAATCATATATAT